GTATTTTGTTACAGTAACAGAAAGCTAACAAAGGCAGTGTGAATTTGTAAAAATTCAGGCTGGAGGCGACGGGACCAGTTAGGAAGCTGGTCCAGTGGTCCAGGTGCTGAAGGACTTGCTGTAGAGCAGAGGAGAGCTCAGGGAGCAAGGCCAGTTGGAGGTGGGAGCAAGGGAGCCAGAGACAACAGTGACTTCCTTCAGTACAGGCTAGGTGAATGGTCATGCCAAAAATGGGGGCAAAGTCCAGGGGACACAGATGGTTTAACAAGGGAAATGAATGTTTTGTGCTTGAGGTACATGTGTCACTTGTACATATCAGTAGCCAGCAGGTTTTCTGACATGAGTCTGAAGCTTTGGATTGATGTTTGGTCTGTGAGTAGTGATGAGCAGTTTATGTGGCTTGAGATCATAGAGGCCAGGGAGCTCACTCAGGGACAAGTGTCAAGAGCACATACAGTGGTCTGGGAACACCAGATGAAGGAGGCAGTGGAGATGCTGGCCAAGAGAGTAGAGTTTAAGGGCCAAGGAGAACTGGGAAGTTTGGGGCAAGGCCTTTCCAGGGGAGTTTGCTCAGCCAGTGCGGCCTTAGCAAGGAGCAAGGAAGCTGTGAGGACCCCGGGAGGGGGAGGGCAGGCCTGAGAACCTGGAGGCAGGATGGAGGAACTGGGGCGGGCCCTGAGGAAACTGGTTCTGTTGGGGGAGGGGGGATGTGTGTTTTGGATCCCATGTAATGGGCTGTTGGAATTTATGATAGTATGGCTCAGCTGGAAGGTGCCAATCTGAGAGAAATATACATTTCATAAAACCTTGGGGAAGGCCTTTTAGGGGTCTGGAGGGTGGGATAATCCCAAGGCAGGCATTTGATGCAGTTCACAGAGGACAAGTCTGCAAGCCCCTTGGTGCCCTTGCTGTGAAATGGCCTTCCTGGACTCTGGTGAGGTCCTAAGGTGGACTGCTGCAGAAGAGGTCACACTTGGGGATGATTCTGGCCCCATTTCTTCCTCTGCCCTCCAAATTCTGCTTATTCAAATTCATATTTAGACAAGGAAGAGATTTTGAAATTTCTTTTTCCTTGGGAGTTTAGAATTCAAAATGCATTCTCATAGATGCTAACAGTCATTTGAGCAGAAAGCATGGCAACCCCGTTACTTGTGAGTATGAAACTACCTGTGTGTCGATGGGAAGGCAAGTCTGGCAGCATTTAAGACACAGTGACAGTGCGGAAGAGGCAGAGTGGAAAGGACTAACAGAAGCGTGGGGTGCAGGGCTGGAGGCAATGGCTTCAGTCATGGCCAGGGGCCCTGCAGGTACCAGGGAAGTTAATGCAGATGCCACAGGGTCTCCTGCTGTCTCTCAAAGACTGGCAGGCCCTGGTGATGCCCTCAGTGAGTGAATGAGGGCAGCTGGGATTATCTGAGGACCACCTGGCACATTGGTGGTCAAAGTACATCTGGGTTTGCAGACATTTCCCTCTGATTGCCCTGGATGCTGAGGCCCCCAGGACCTCAGTGGGCTCTGTTAAATCTTCTCTTCACCCGGAGACAGCAGCAAGAATCAGACTGAGCTCCTGGCCTAGGAGCTTTTCAATGAAAAGTTTATTAGAAGGGCACTTACAAGAGGAAGGGAAGGGGAATGGACACGGATCTTTAACAATAGGGGTACAATGCTTAGAACAGGTGCTCTGCTTTTAAGATACAAAACTTAGAAAAATCTAAAACACTATAAATAGGTACATGCTTTTTACAAAGATATTAAAAGGTCAGGCTGGCTGAATAGTGAAGGTAATCAACATCCTCCACATTCTCGTCTTCACCCCGACACATGCCAACACAGGAGTCCAGAACAGCCTGTTGGCAGTGGCAGCAATGCAGGCCTCCTGGATAAAAGTGGCTCCCTCTCTGGGTAGCGTCTTCACCCCAGGATCCCTGTGGAGGGCCTAGATTTGACTCAGAGCTGCCTGATTTTACACACTGTCACTTGTGCAGCCAGCCTCGCTTGGAGTTCTAGATGCTGAGCCAAAAAAGCCACTACACTCCTCAAGGCACCAACATTCAGAACTGGCTGTACCCAACTCTTCCAGCCACTGACCTCAGAAGGGAGAGGCCTTCGCAACTGTCTTAAAAAATTAAATAGTTATCTGTCTGAATGGTTTTAAGAAATTATTACATAAATATAAAAACACCAGAATGCTAGAGTATCCATTATTTCTGCATTAAAAAAACAAAAATCAATTACAGAATCACTGAGAATTTCTCACTCCAGTTTGCCCAAGAGGTGAGTTTCTTTTACATGACAGCTGTGTTTCTGAAGAGGTGCCTGTGTACCAAGTCATCCCCGCTGACTGACACCTCCCATCAGGGGTGCTACATCATCATGGTGACCCACATTCTCTTGAGTATGTTTCCTGCATTCCATCCACTCCAGGAAGTGGCCGATGCTCCTTAAGAGGGGGATGGACAATGTGAAGACTGTTACTTGAAGGGGTCCTACGGGGGAGCGTTGATGCCACAAAAAGAAAAATGGCACAACCTAGCTGTGCTAAGGTTTTCTTCTACTAAAAATGAGACACATGTACATTCTGAGAAAACACCCAACTCTAGCCACTTAAAGCACACTGTAAGAAACAGTGTCCGGAGCCAAGCTTGTGCCATCTCTGGCTACTAGTGGCCCCCTAGGTAAACAGTCCTGCGAGCAGCCTGCAGAGTCCTTTCCCAGCCTCTCCTTTTGAAGACTAGAGGGCACAATCATGAAGCCTCAGAAATGGCAGGTGGGGCTAAGAATGACAGCTCCCTGGACAACTTATGTCCATGCACACACTACTTAAAAGAAAACCTTCCTGTGGTTTGAGTAAAGGCATTCAGCCCTGGACTAGGTCCAGACTCTAGGAAGCCAAAGGGAGATGGAGAAAAACAGACTAAGCACACAATATGTGCTACAGCTCATTTCAATACATTAACAATTTAAAAAATAACTATGGTCAATTTAAAAAAAAAAAAAAAAACAGACCACATCAGGACAATGGGAAAGTCTGCCAGCAGCATTGCCCTCATGTGTTTTCTTCCCAAGAGTCAGAGTCCCTGCTCCTGACTCCAGGCTAGTCATAGGTGTCAGGTCCTCCAAAGCCTGCCAAGAAAGTGGCCAGCTGAGATGATGCGCCAGCACAGGCCTGTAGTCCAAACCGGCTGGGGCAGCTACCTGCGTGTGCACTGGAGGGTCTGTTACTGAATTAAGTGAGGAAGCAGAGAGTGGTGGGGAAGGAAAGGTGCTAAAAGCTGGCTCCTCGGGAGTGCTGCAGATACCGGATGCAGCTGGGGGACAGCACATGAGGTCATGTTGCCTGAGCAAACTACACTTAAAACTGCTGTCCGGCAGCCCTTCCCATGCCTCTGAAACTGCCCTGGTTTTCCTCTTGCCTCTTTCAGCTGTCCTTTTAAAAAAGTTTTTAAAATGTATAAATGTCATTCATATAAGATTTAAAACTAAGAAAACTAGTTTTGTGACTTAAGAAGGACACTAATATTACACATGCCCAAAGGACCTATTTGTGTTCCAGGATGGGAAAGGTACCATTCCCTGACATCCAAAAATGACCAAATTTATTTTCACGGATGCCAAAAGTAGATCTGCCTACAGTTTCCTCACATATCCTCTGGTGGTCTCTTAAGGAAAAGGGTCAAGAAAACAGCCTTTGGGAAAAAAACCACAAAACTCAAAACTTCATGCCAATTAGAAGCATCCATCAGATCTGAGCATTGAGGGTTCTAAGACACCCTCCAAAATGCAGCCAATTATGACCAGCACATCACCAAGATTGTGTTACACCTAAAGCTGTCCCCAAGCACCTGGAGGACAACTGTGCCATAGGAAGCTCTTACGTAATAGGTGAGGAGTGCGAGCCTCACAAACCACTGCCCGCAGCTTGCATGCGAGGGGCTGTGATTGCTCCAGCAGAAGCCAAAATGGAATATTCCTGCCCCGAGTTCTGAGCTGATCAGGAGCATGAAGGCACACACGGGAGGTTCAGAAGGCCTCGTGTGTGTGTGTGTGTGTGTGTGTGTGTGTATAGCAGTCTACAGACCACTTTTAGCCAAGCACAAATTCCATACCCACAGCATTTGCACCTATCTGAGGAAGTGAGAGGGTTTGTATTATCTCTGGGTTCTGTCAACACCCTTGTGGAAAGACTCACACAAGTGAGCAAGGTGTTCATTCCATCTCTTCCTGTGTCCTCAGAAGGTGTAGGGAGCAGTTCTCCTAGATGGGAATCTCAAGACCATAGCTGCAGGGGCACTGGATCCTGCAGGTGAGATGCCAGGAAGTCCCCGACATCTTCAAGGAGCATGAGGAATATCATCACATTTATGGTTTATGACCTGCCAAAAGTATACACTTTATTCCCCTTCACCTAGAATAAGACAGGACTTCCATAGGAAATCCCCTCCCCCCTTTTTTTCCTGGTATAAATTCATGCAAAAATGTGGATAAGTCATTTCATATAAAAACAGCAGCAAAGAATAAAGTACCAATTGCAGGTGGCAATCCTGTGTCTGCTGTATTCTGCAAAAGGCCAGTAAAAGAATCAGTTTCGGTTTTTCTTTTTCCAGTTGAAATAATGTATACTAGTTTTCTACCTAATTGCCCTTGGGTGCTGTACTTAACACACAGCATCACTGCAATAGTTGTTACTGAGGGTTCTCTGCCACAAGCTACATAATATCACGTCCCAGGGCGAAGATGACAGATCTCTTTGCACCAAGCCTGCAATTTTCAAAGGTATAAAAAAATTTTAATAGCCCTTTTCATTTGCCTATGTTAGCCTGAGATTTTTCCCTTTTGGTGAATTTACTTCTGTAAATTTCAGCTTCCAAAAGTGCTGACAGGTGTCTCAACAGAACCTGGAAAAGCTTCACCTTGGGAGAAAAGTAGTTGTTGGGTCCCAGTCTGCTTTCCCAGTCGATATGCCTACCCAGGAACTTTTGTTTTTTAATATAAAACAAACATTTAAAAGAGCATATGATAAAGTTGGTTTAATTAATGCAACCGACTACATAAACCAACATAGCCGAATGCATCAGAATACGGCGCGAGACGACCGGGGATGCACTCGCGGTAGTGCTGCCTCAGCCCGAATGCCACTACATCCAACTGCCCTTTGCTTCATGTGAACACTTAATGTCATTCAAATCTCTTTGAGATTAATGTGATAATAGAAACTATACATTGCATACGCACTGAGACTCAGCAGATCCTCCCCACTTTTCTAAGTGAGGAAGGGCAAAAAAGTTTTTGAAGAGATGGGTCTCGTCAACTTTTCCCAGGGTCCCAGGAACACATTCTGCCGAACGTGCTTGCTCACACCAATCAGTGTGTTCTGAGAGGGGAGCCAGCCGGGCAAGCCCCTCCCCATGCGCAGTCAGCTCATCAGGTGCCCACTGCCAGCATGGTGGGGTGTGGCTGGGAATGCTCTATCCGAGAGGCTCTTAATCAAAATTGCCAGAGAACTGGAACACCTTCCAAGATGAATTCCACACCAAGCCCTGGGCAGAGAGGCTTTCCTGTTGGACTGTGACATCCCAGATCTCATTAAAAAAGGAGGTGGCTGCAGGAAGGGGCAGGTGGTGAAACACTACCTGTTGGCATAAGCCACTGGAGCAGAAGCCATTTCTTGCCCTTCACGCTGGAGCCTAGGGCATATGTGTTCAGCAGGTACAACTGTTCATAAAATCCACCACTGGGTTTGCTTCTGTGCTTTGGAAAACAGGTTGGTGCCACCTTGGTTGAGAGAGAAGATTTTCTTCCTTGACAAGAACGGGTTGAGGAGAGTTCTGATTTTCTCCTTTCTCCTCCATGGCCATTTTCCCCAAGCCCGCCCTCCCCTCCCCTCCCTCTTCACTCCCAGGGTCTCTAAGACACGCTGGAACAGCGGATGCTGGGGGAGCCCATCTGGGTGAGAACCTTGTCAAGCCACTGCAAAGGCCCATTCAGGTGCAGCTCAATCCAGCAGGGGGTGCTGGTCACTGTCTGTCTCCTGCAGGAACAGGGAAAGGGATGGGGGGGACTTAAAAAAAAGTCCACAAGGATACAAATATAAGTCAGAACATCTTTTTCTGCTTTGGTGATAAGTTAAACTCCTCCAACCAGGGAGGACTCAGTAACTCAGGTTTTTCTTTAGGGGACAAGGAGGGCCTTAAAGTGTTACACATGTAAGGTCAATTCCAGGGTACCCCAGAGGCTCACCAGTTACTGTGACAGGCCCCCGACTAGAGGACCTCCAGCCTGAGCAAAGGTCCCCCTGGCTCCCATCTGTGCCAGCTGGGCACCTGTAGCTCCCGGTCTCCAGACCAGGCCCAGCCCCAACAGGCTGCAATGACGTGTGTCTGTCTGGTGGAGGGGTGTTTTGTATGAAGTGCCGACTGAGTCCACATGCCTTCAGTTCCCAATGTGCTGATATAATTCCCATCTACGGCCTTATTTTGGAAAATCTTACGAGTAGAGCTAGCCATGAAACAATTACTGGAAAAAACCAAGGCACGCCACACGTTTCTTTTCCCCAAAGTACTTTGTCTAAATTCAGGCTGGCGGATGACGCAGCTCATAGGCGAAGTCCCAAAGGCCTCTGCTGAGCAGAGGCTATCTGCTGAGGCTGGAGTTATGGGTGCCAGCTGGAGGTAAGAAGACTGGGTCCTGCTTTCGGCCTCCTCACAGACACGGTCTGAAACCTTACTCTCCTTGGCCCACGAGGCAGGAGGACAAAGCTGTTCTGGGAAGGGGCCGCACCCGTCCGTTGGGCTGTGGTGCGTGCTGCCAGGCGGCGGTGACGCAGTGGGCTGCACAGGACTGGGAGTGCTGGCAGAACTTCCTGCACAGTGATACAGTGCCCCCAGGGAAAGGCTTCCGCCACCATGGAGCCTCTGCCTGGCCCTCAGCTGGAGGACCATGGTGCCACACCACATCAGGTCCACTGTCCTGAGGGCCACCCTCCTTGCTTGTTGGGCTTCACCTGAGACAGGCCTGCAACCTGGCCCTGGGGTGTCTGCTTGGTCAAGGGCACCTGAGTGTGGTCCCTGGGTTAGAATCTGGGTGTAAGAAGAGCCAGTGGACTTCCCCTGGCTCTTTTCCATTTGGGTCCATCTTTAAATATTTCCCTTTCCCACTAAAAACATTTTCTAACCTTTCACTCTCATTCCCTAAGTGATCTTAGCCAGGGCTGAAAGGTTCGATAAAACATTTCTCCAACGGGACCTCTGGGCCTGGGCTAATCTCTCTAGTTCTTCATAACATGGTCATAAGTCCTCCCAAGGGCTGACAACCTCACCCCCTTGGTGGTTCCCTGGATTTTACAAAGACTGCAGGGATGAAGGTACGGTGTTCCTTGGCACTCTGGGGCAGACGCAGAAGAACAGCAGCTAAAACTACGGTAACTGGAGGAGGTGGATTTTACAGAGCAAAACCCTCTAATGAGAATCTGACTTTCCATAAGTCATGCTCATCAGGATTTCATTATAAACCGTGGCTCAGAGCCAGCACTGAAATGGGTTTGGCTGGGGTGCAGAATGACTGCAAAACAAAGTAGATTCCAAACATCTGGAAAAATGAAGAGAAGGGAGAGTAGCTTGCAAGGCGCTGACTCCAGCTGACGTGTGGCACCTCTGCGTCTGTGCGCAGGAGCCGGGGGCTGGGCGGGGTGTGCAGCAGGGGGCACGCAGCCCTGCCTGTCAGGAAACCCCTGCCAGGTGTGGGGGGAGAAGGGGCTGGATTCCAGGGAAACCCAACCCGGGATGGTCTGAGGGACTCGAGTAAGCAGAGTAGGCCGACCTGTTAATCAGTACCATATTCAGACCTGTATGTAGGATTCTTAAAAATTACGTCCATGCACAGTAAACTCTTGTAACCATGCAGATCTCCTCCCTCCTTCCTTGATTCTCCTAGATGTTCAGAGTCACCAGCGTCCCCAAGTTCAGAGAGGGAGCCACAGGTGGGAGACCCTTGGGTGAAGGAAACCATCTGCCCCAAGGACTGAGGATGAGTGGCCACGCACAGCTCTAGGCTCAGCTTCCCACTGATGAAGTGACTTCAGGCAAGTCATTCGTCTTCCCTAGGCCTTAGTTCCCTCATCTGTGCAACAGGGACGATGCCTGTGTCCTCACCCAGGGTTGTGGAAAGGACAAAATGGGACATGTCTGTTGACAGCACTCGAGAAACTGCTCAGTGCGAGGCCAGTGCTGTCCTGCTCTTCCGGTTGTCTAGGAATGTCTCTGCCCCTCCCGCCCGCCGGGCTGTGGCCTCCCTGATCTGTGGTCTCTGCTCTGGGGCGTGACATCTGGCCTTGCTCATCTCCAAGGAGCCTCTGCTCTGCTGTTCTGGGTTGCCCGTGTTGGTCCCCACTGACCTGTACTCTGCTCCCCAGCCTTTGACGAAGCTCATGCGGATGGTGCACATTCGAGTCAACTGGTAGACAGCCTCGAAGCCCTGGTTGACAGACTGAGCCAAGAGGGCGGCGAACTCCTGGTTGTTGAAGATCTTCAGGTTGCATCCTGCCCAAAACGACAGTGCCGCTGGGAACAGAGGCCTGTACACGCCCGCTGCTCCCCTCCCGGCTAAAGCAATCCTGGATCACTCGGCTCAAGTGGCACCTGGTCATCTGAGGCATTAGCTGCATACTCCATGCTTGGCACCATGCCACAGATGGGCCTACCCAGTGCCTCCTGTCAAATCTGTCACCACCTCACTGAGGATGTGCAGGAGGGAAAATCAAAGGCTGGCCCACAAGCTCCGCCCCCTGCAGCTGTGGGGATGCTGAGGACCCAGGGCATAGTTTGGAGAGGCAAAGGGGCCAAGGCCTTCCAGGGGAAAGAGAGGAAAGGGACCTGAGCCTAGATGCCCATGCTGCCCCGGGCATGATCACCCCCCTGGGCCTTGGAGCTCTCACGTTGGTGGAGGAGCAGGGCGGGCCAGCAGAAAAGCCAGCTGAAAGCTGCGGGACCTGACACCCCGTAGGAAGCTCAGCAGAAGGTCGAGACACTGTCCACCTAGACTCTTCTGACGGATCTGCCTCATTCTGGGGCCAGGAAAGGGGAGAGATCTGGGTCACACTTTGGCCTCTGGGCACAGACTGGGTCGAGGTGACATTCCCAGCAAAGTGAAGGTGTGTGTCTAATTCTCCAGACAGTAAAACTAGAGACAGGCACAAATAAAGTTTAAAATAAACCTCCCACTGCCTGAGTGCCAAGAATGCGTCAACCAGAAAAATAAAGACCAACGCACACGCCAGAATAACCGAAAGGTGAGGCGAGGTGACACCTAGGAGTGGGCCAGCACTAGCGCCCGATCTTGCTGCATGTCTCTGGGCCAGTCACCTTCTCTTTGGAACCTTGTGTCTTTAAAATGGGGGTTCACTGGAGGTTGTCCCTGTTGTGATGTTCTGTGAGCTGACAGGGTCCACTCGGCCCTCACCAAAAAGATGGGGGAGGCCAGGGAAGGAGTGGGCAGAATGCCAGGAATGTCACTGATCTTCCTCTCCTTCCCCTTCTCCAGGGGACATGTGCTGGATCAGGGCTGAGACTGCTCTCCAGCCCCCATCCCCACTCTCTACCCTGCAGAGCTGAGAAACAGAAGAGCACTAGGCGAGAGTCAGCTAGTCTTAGGCTCATCCAGCTTGGCTCTTTCCTAGCTGTGTGTCCTTGGGCAGTTAGCTTAACCCCTCTGAACTTATTTCCTTAACTGCCTTATTAGTAGAGCCAGAGTAACTGGAGAAGATTAAATGAGATCAGATATAAAAACGCACTCTGTAAATGCAACCACAAAAATGCTCGGGAAGTGGGCCACTGTTAAAATTTCAGGTTTTCTGCATTTTAAGTGTATCTTGCTCAGGTCCACTGTCATCTCCTACTCAGCAAGCAGGAAGAGACATGCCACCCATGTGCCATGGGCAATGACCTGGCCCAGGCCACATGCTCTAGCAGCTAGTCACAACCCACAGCCTTTGGTGCCTGCAGTGTGAGAAGTGGGCTTTGGCTGGGCTTCCACTGGGATATTTGAAGTAAAGAGGCCTTGGGGCAGGACAGGGGGCAGAGCAGCCTCCTACCTGACCTTGCTGTCCAAACTCCACTCTGCCTAAACCATCTTACAGGGTGTGGCCTCACACACATGCTCAGGGTCCAGGTAGATTCATCAGCCTCGCTGAGAAAACCCTCAACAGTTCCACAGGATAAAACTGAAACTTTCCTCCCATCTTCCCATGGCCTAGTCCCACCAAGTTCTTCAAACATTTCCTTCTTTTACACAACCCCTCCTCCAATCAGAGTGTCCCCTAAGTGTCCTGCCTTGCATCACCTCCATGCCTCTGCCTGCAGTGCCCTCCAGGGCTCCATGCCACCATCCTGTGCCTATCCCAATGGTTAAACCACCCTCTCCCCAGGTGCTGGGCACCCTCCCCTGCGTTAGACTCTTCTGTCTCTATCATACACACCTCACAGGTCTGCAGACAGGTAGCCCAGGGGAAAGGCAGATGTCCTTCATGCTGCCTCTGCTCCCTGGAGGACCAGGGAGAGCACAGGAAGACGTGGGCATGGAGAGAGCCCAGCCAAACACCTCCATGCTGACAGGGCGGACCCCGATGAGGAAACACGGCTGGAAAGAGGGACTCTCCAGCACCCTGGATGTGCCATCGAGATGGGCACCACATTGGGGAGGCTTACCTGGTGGGATCTTGCAGACGGTGGCTGGATGCCAACCGTAGCGCTGGTTACAGTTGGGAGACTGGACGAAGATGGCGCTGTCGCTGAGGCACTCTGCGAAGACCTCCCCTCCGATGTAGTAGAGCCTCACGCCTCGCCCTGGAGATGTGGGGAGATGGGATCAGGAGCCTGTGCCCACACCGCAGCCCCAGGGCCAGTGGAGATTGGCAAAGAGGACAGAGCTACAGTGGCTGCCCCAAGGGACTGCCAGCTCCCTTCACCATGGGACCCAGAGCCCAACTTGAAACCCAAGTAGAGAAATCACAAGTGACACTGGATTTCTAAAGGGGGGGAGGCAGAGAAATAAGAGCCCGTGATAACCTCAGTGACAGTTTCTGCCACTGGCTAGCCATAGGTCTCAGTCACATTACCCCACCTGGGGGCTGAGCTCCTCTAGAAAACAGGTAGCTGCTGTGCCTGGTGAGTGACAGCTGCTGTCCCCCCTCTGACCACACCACCAACTCTGCTCCCTCCTTGCCCCAAGATTCAGAGGGTCACTCGTAAACCTGCCAGGCTCCTGAGGCAGCAGACCCTCTGGGAGCCCTCTGCTGCAGGAATGGTGTGACGCCATCCCTCTCGGCGTGTTTCTGAAGGAGACCACAGGGTCACATCATTTACTTTTCCTTCATCTCTTAAATCCACTCCAGATGGACAGAAATTATTTTTAAATTGCTTCTGCAGTTCCAACAGTTAGATAAACACTCCAACAAGGAGCTCTCTGCTCAGCCAGGGGATGCGCCCTTATGCACGGGAAATTCTCTGCTCCGCTCCTGAGGAGGAGGCCCAGAGGGCCAGAAACGCAGCCAGGTTTTCCAGGCCCAATGGCAGGTGGGTGGAAACCAGGCGACCGACCTGTATACCATTCCATGTCCCTGTTCCTGCCTCTAATCCCCACTACTCCCATTTCCTCTCATCTGGGTCCTACAGGACTGTGTGCTTGGGGCCCAGAGTCCACAAGGAAGGGCAAGAGCACAAGGAAGGCAGCCAGGATGGGAGTGGAGAGATCCGGACCAAGAGACCGCATGCCCTAGCCCGCGGCCTGCAAGCTCTTCTCTCCACTACAGAACTTCTTTTCAAGCCAATCTGAGAGACAGCTCAGAGGAAGCCAGCAAGAGCAGAGGTACCCTGGGGCAGGTGGGGACAATGGCCCTTGCTGCTGTCCCTGCCAAGCTCCTGAGTTTGTCCCCAGAGCTTCTTGGCCAGCCCTTGGGGCTTCAGGATGATGGCTGAGGATGTCCTACCACATCATCTCCGCAGCCCTTCTGGGGGGCAGCAGTCTGTGACCCTGGATGGTAAAACCATGACTGTACTTAGCGTAACCTCCCACGGGAACCAAGACCATGCGGCTGTGTCTTCCCTGAACCCACAATGCTCCTCTCCTGGTGCTGGAACACAGCACGCTAGTAGTTGTATTTGAGTTGTGGACATTTCTTGTCTTTGAACCTTTTTGAAATTATCTAGAATATTCACATAAGAAATTTAACAAATGAAAAAACCCTCCTCCAATAACGACCACCTACTTATCAACCTAGCTGTACCTCAAGGGATATTTATTAAAAGATTCGTACACGTTAACCTTCCCCCACAGACTTCCCTTCCTTGTCCCCTAAATGAGGTGTTCTCCTCCTTGGCTTCTGAGTTTTCAGAGATTATCTGCATCTCTGGGTGGAAATGAATTGAACTCCAAGGAGACTGAACCCTAGCTGTCTGGCCTCTAAATGGAGCAAGAGGAGGATCTGGGGGCCAGGATGGATGAGTGAGTCCTATCCCCACATCCCAGCAGGAGGCTGAGCACAGCCAGGGGAGGCATGCAGAGGCTGCTCTGGGCCAGAGGTGGGGACAGCATGGCCACCCCATTACCGATGTGCCTCCGTGTGAGCTCCACGGCAGCGTTCCTGTTGACATTGGACAGCAGGCCTAGGCAGAAGCGCTCGGAGTTGGAGGGGTCAGTGAAGCCGTCCACCGTCATGGATGGCTGCGAGGCATGGAATGTCTCCCCGACACGCTGGTTCAGCTCGTAGTAGGAGATGGAGCACCAGAAGGCTGGCTCGCAGTAGGTGACTGGCTGCAGGTCTGCAGAGACAGAAGCCTCGGGTCAGGGCCTCAGGCCCCCTGCTCCCAGGGCCATCTGGTTATTCAGGGTGTATCTATGAGCTGCTGCCTGTGAGCATCCTGATGATCCAACCCGACCATGAGGCCCAGAGCCCATCCCTCCTCCCTTGCCTTAGCCCTTTGGCTCTGATGGGAGAAGCAAGATGGCTGGCTATGCCCAGGTCCCAGCACTGGCCTGAGAACCCCACCCACTGTCTGCTGGCAACTTGTGGGATCCAACAGATCTCGAAAGGTGCTAAGCCTTAGAGAAAAATCAGAAGCAGTGCTGCCCACAGGGAAGAGCCTGGGTGACCTCTGCCGACAGAGAGGCCCTGAGCTTCAGGAGTCCAGGCACACAGTCCCTTCTATGGGTGAAGGGACCTGAAGAAGAGATGCAGACCATTGCCAGCCCTGCCCATCACATACTCAGAAAGTGCCCGCTGGAGGACACCCCCAGACTGGGCTCCTCGGCCTCAGCACCACTGACATTTGGGCCCAGACTGCTGTTTGGAGAAAGGGGGCTCCAAATGTCACAAGGTGTTTAGTGCCCTTCTGGCCCTACCCATGAGATGCCAGTACCATACATCCCCCTCCCCCTCCCAAGAGGTGACAATAAAAAATGTCTCCAGGCACTGCCAGCTGCTTTGCAAGGGGTAAAACTGCCCTGGATGCTTGGCCAGGTCACGGAGCAGTGCAGGCCCTCTCTGTGAGCCCCAGTTCCCACCGTGCCTTGGTCTGGGTGCAGAAGCCTCTTTACCACCAGGGCTGTGAGTGGGTGTGCCAAGCTAGCTCACGGAGGGGCAGGCACATGTCAGGCACTCAATGTGAGGTGTCAAGAATTGCCCACCCTCCACCTCTGGAGTGGCAGAGCACCCTTGCCCTTCTAGGCAGGGAGCAAGGGAAGATGAGGTTGAAGGCAGAGGTCTAAGCTGCCTAATGGGGAAGGGAGGAATGACGAGGCAGGGGCATCTGTGGCCTGTGCCCTGGCTCCTGAGGTCGGGCTGAGACACGTCAGCCACATCCGGCTCTGGCTTTGCTGGATGCTTCAGCATTCCAATGAGATAAGCGATATTCTAAACACTGTGGTCACTAAAATGTAAGCTATGTTGCTTTGGAAACTTCAAAAAGAAAAGAAATCCAAGTGCAATCCAAGCATGCAAAGTGGTCAGGCAACACATCAGGGCTTCTGGCTGCCCAGGTGCAGGCTCTGCTGACCTTGCTGTGTGAACTTGGGTACATGACTGCCCTCTGTGGCCTCAGTTTCCTAGTCTGTACAATGGCTAGTGCACCAGAAGACACCCACAGCAAACTATCTAGGTCACTGTGCTTCTGGCAGGGGTCGGCCTGAATAAGCAGCTTTGGCTGATCTGGGCCAAACTTTTGGCTGATCTCAGCAACGTGGAGAACAGCACACAGGCCTCACCTCCAAGGCATAAAGCCCTGCCCAGAATTCCCCGGGCCTGGTACAGGTAAAAAGAGACCAAGCTAGGTTCCCAGAGACAGTGACACACCACAGCCAAAACGAGCAGGCAGTGTATCCCCTGCAGAACATGGTCCCAAACCAGGCTCCGGGAAGCGTGGGCTTCGCGGAGTCTGAGTCCAAGAGGCCCTCCCAGCAGATCTGAGCCCTTCAAGTTGCTGACACACTGGACACATCAGTAGGAAGATTCTGGTTTGGGGAAGTGGTGTCATTAGACCAGTGTCAAAGTTTTGAGGGTTTCCATTTAAAAAAAGTGCTATTTGATCAGGAGCAGGGCAGAGCCAGAGCCATGGTCCTGCCATGTGCTTGCTTTTCTCTGCAAACAACTGAAAGATGCCCCTGCCTTCCATCCCCCACTCCCATCAGCTCCCAGCTGCTTCCTAAAGGCAATTCTGCAAGAGAAGCCATGGACACAAAAGTATGGCAACCACCTCTGGGTTCTTCCTTCAATAGAACTTTATTTTTTAAACTATATATTGCCCTTGTTTCTTTTCCACCAAAGGCTTTATCCACATCATGCTAAGTATGAGAAATACAAAGTCTGGACTCTGGAAAGGAAAAAGCTATGACTGGGATAACCATAAAGTTACTTATAGTCACTGAAAGAACACTAGGCCCTGAGCTTCCTAGCAGCCAAAGTGAAAAGAGAACATAACCTGTTACATGGCTCTGGTTGACAAATGCACAATGCTTACTAGTTCCCCAAGAAAAACAAAACTTGTCCTGGCATGAAATCTTAAAGGTCATCTCTCAGGGGTAGGTGGCAATCCCTCTCCCATACCAAACAAGCCAGCAGGCCCTGGTTTCAAGAGTTTAGATGCAGAAGCAGTTCTACATGTAAGACACTATTGGAAGGCTCCTCTGGGAAAATACCTATGAGGGGGTTCAGTAATGTGCCCCTTGGAGGGCAGTTTTGCTTCTCTAGGCCAAGGAGAAGCCTAGAGTGGTAGAGGAAGTCACGGGTCAAGGCCTTGCCTTCAAGCAGTGCTGCTCGCGGCCACACTGCCTCATCTGTGAACCTCCCTTCCCAGAGCAGAGGTGTCCGGGATGCAGGACCCTCCAGCTCCAGCCACCCTGCCGCCACCCCCCGTGGAGTGTCAGCCAGACTTCTCGGGTAGCATGGGGCACGGTGCTTAATTCTCAGCTGGCCCCCTGCCAGGCTAACGCGTTGGCTGGCTTCAGGTTTGAGCCTTGTTCCAAGCTGGCATAGACGTTCTGTTTTGTTTAAGGAAAAGAAAACAGAATAAAACCCAAAAGGCAACGCTCAGATTAAGGGATGCCTATTAAAAACATGTGCAAAAGATTCAGATCCAGTAAAGGGAAAGGTGGGGGAGGGGCAGGGAGTTAACTCTACTGCAGGGGAAAGCTGCAAATGGGCAACAGCCAGGCCAGCTGGCACCACAAGGCTCAAGGTCAAAACAAGTGGACTGGCCACGTCTGGGTCTCTTCACCTGCAGAAGACAGCTCTGCCTCCGTCCGGGAGAGTCCACACTCCAGTCCCACACCCATCCTGCTGCATCTCCCACTCTGCTGTTCCCTCTCCCTGGACCGCCCTTCCCCTCCATCTGCACGGACCTGACCTGGAAGGCCCAGCGAGTGTGCCTGAAACATTCCCTCCATGCGGAATGGCCCTCGTGTCCCAGCCTCCTGGGTAAGGAGTCGGCTGCATAGTGGGTTAGCGCCCTGCAGGCCCAGGCCAGCTATGTCCCCAGCATCCAGGGCAGCAATTCTGACCTCTCTCCAAGGATCAGAGCAACAACCAATTGTGCACAGAAAGAACCCCGCGTTCTTGATCCTGCAACCCAACTACCACCATTCCTGGTGGTAAAGTCTAAGCCGGACCCTGGGGAGGGTGACTTCCTGTCATCACGTGGCCTGCGTGTGATTTCGCAAGCTTAGGGAAGACTGGAGCCAGAGGCAGCCCTAGGAAAACGGCTTGTGCAGCAGCATGAGGACACCTGGCACCAGGTCATTGTGACCTGGACCCCTGTCCTTTTCTCCAGGTCTGGTGGCCTTCCACTTTCCAGCAGCCCTGCCACCCACCCCTGCCTCTGTCTCCTGGCATAGAGGAAGGCTCATTCTGCCTGCGGCACTCTGGGAAACCATCCCCTCCTTAAACTCCAGCTCGACCTCTCCCAGGACACTCCCTGGGACCTCATTTTCCTCAGTCAAGCCGCTCCCTAAATGTCTCACTTTAACGCAGGGAACAACTTACTCACCCAGCAGGACCCAGCGCGTTACCTTTCTCCTCTCCCTCCATCTCCATTTGCCCCAATCCTACCGACCCAAATGCCCAGGAAACTCCAGGTGACTCACCAAGCACAACACGTACTCAGAGAAACGTCACCTGCTCCTGTCCCTTTCCCTGCAAAACAAAGCTCCTGGGCTCCAGATGCCCAGCGGGGCCTCCCCTGCCTGGGGGCTCCTCCTCCAGTCACCAGGCCACGGCTCCTTGCCAGAAGTGGCTTTACTGTGGCAGGACACTCAGTCTTCCCCAGACCTAAGCCCAGGACCCATGCCTGGAGGGGGAGGAAATCAAAGAAGCCGGAAGTCCTTTCATCCTTGTTGTATAATAATTTTGTAATAATTTCTTTAAAGGACATACTGAGGTCCAGGTCACAGACGCATCCCGCCTCCTGCCTGGGGAGGAGACCTCACTCGTCCTAGTGCACACTGGCCAATGCAGCCTGTGGATCCAGGCTCAAGACCGGCTCCCAGACACCCGCCCCTGCCAGCCACATTTCCCTAAAGCATGCGTCCCTCCCAGCTGCCTCGCAGCAGCGGCTGCCACAGGGACTTTGTGCTTTTCCTCCAGTAATTCCCCCCAGCAGTTCCACTGTGGAGGGTGATAAACCCCTCACCATCTGGAGCCCACCACCAACTTCATTCTGTAGGCAGGAGGGCCAAGGGGACATCACGAGCCCTTTCAGCCTCATCTTTCCCAAGTCCCCCAATGTGCCACCCAGCACAGTGCCAGTTGTCCTTGAACACATCCTGCCCTCCCATCTGAAGGTCTCTCCCTCCACTTGGCCTCATAGTAGCCCCCTGTCCTTCAAGTTCATGCTCACATGTGTCACATGGCTCAAGTGGTCCTAGCCCATCATATTTTCCTCCTGGCACACACAATCCCCTTCCTCTGCACTTGCTCCCTTGGCACCTGGAGCAAGGTATCACAGGTAAACATGGATCCCTGGCCACCCCAGCAGGCTGTGAATGTCCAAATGTCGCCCCCACTCTGGACCCCAGCATTCATGAACACTAGGAACTTGGCAAATGCTGAGGATAGGATATTCCTGGTCAGACATCTCCACGAAGGCCCTGGTGTTGACCTCTGAACACTCCCAGTACTTTCATCTGCATTTACCTCTTGTTTTATAATTAATTATAATCCCAACTTATCAATCCCAACAAGGCCATTGACCTTGACAACAGGGTCTAGGATTCTCCCTTTGGTCCCCCCACCTGGACAGGCACATGGTGACCAGACGGAAGTACCTGGGGAATGAACGAGGAAGACAGGCAAGCTGGCAGGGCTCCTACCCGGGGACCATAGCCTGTTGCCTGTCCCTTCTGGAACCTTATTCTCTGAGTGAGGCAGGGGGGGACAGCTGGTCCAAATGGTCCAGCAAGGCAGAGTCCTGCTGCCATGGTGGACATGCTATGCATCAAGGAGGATCGAGGATGAATGAGTCCACCCTATTCTATGATATCCTAATTTATAAAATTAAAAGTTAAGAGTATGCCTCACAGAGTTGTTATGAAGATTAACACTCACGAAGCAGTTGAATAGCAATAAACAGAAGTTCTCAGGAAATGCCAGCCATCGTCACCATCACCCTCACCTCACCCCTTCCCACTGTGGTGCCTCGAATCTGTGACAGCTCTCAGGTAGGTTCTGAATGGAAAAGTGGGCGCAGGGGCTCATCCAGCAGAGAGGAGGCTGGGCCTGCCGGCACCAGTGTCTCGCCCTGGTCCTGCTCTTGACTTGCTGGCTGATTCGTCCCGATTCAGACCTTCCTGGCAGGCGAGTAACCAGGCCAGTATGAGTGGCCTCCATGCTCCATGGGCCAGCTCAGGGATGTTCCTGCCTTTGTCAGAAATGACCTAAGAATCATCCACTCTCAGATAAGCATGTGAAGAAGGGGCAAGGGTCCAAGCTTGACTCACCCCTCATCCTAGACTCCATGATCTAAGGGTGGTCCCTGCTAAATGCCACCTGGGACAGCTTGCTAAACGGCTGAGCTGGGCAGCGGCCACCTCCAACCTGCCCTGTGACCTCTGGTTTCAAAGCCAAGTGCTGACCCCAGAGTCTGTTGGCTGAATGTGCTGCCTTGACCATAGTAGGGTGAACAAAAATAAATCTAAACCAGCTCATCTCAAAAGCTGAAAGCCAGAGTTAAGTGGGCAGTCATGGCCTTTAGTTTCTCGAGTGTTCCCATGGCTTCGGGCCTCCTGAGTTTGTTTTTAAGAACTCAGTCCTTTCCTATCAGGAACATGACCTTCCCTCTGCAAAGCCCAGTGCTCACAGTGAGATGTTAAAACAGATCCCCCAAAGTCACATGTCACTCTGCCCACATGGTAGCTTGTTTAAAGTGCTCCCAAGCACCTCCCAATATTCAAAATGATGAATTTTATCTGACACTCTCGGTCAAGGTCTGAAAACAAGCGGGCCCCAAAGCCAGTCCAGTGCACTCTGATTCACCACATGTGGACATTAACCATTGCTCTTCCTGAGCCACAGAGTAAGTTCCAGCAATAAAGCTTCAAACGAAACCCAAATCACATTTTCTAACACTACCAGCTCAGAAGACCAGAAACTCTCCTCCATAAAAATGACACAGACATTTCCTTTGTTTTGAGCCCGTCAAAATAGGCTCCACGCTGAAGCCACAAGGACTCCAGAAGCCTGTCCCAGCCTGGAGAACTGAAGGACACTGCCGGGGCTGGCAGAGTGACCCTTAGAAACACTGAGCCAGAAGCCCAACAATCCAGGGGTGTTGGGGAAATGAGGGGCCAGCTGCTCAAAAACATCATGAGGTAATGCAGAGTGGTAAACTAGGCATCTAAATATGGAAACACGTTTGCACAACAACAGAGAAGACAGGAAGGCACGAGTACATACATGCTGGATCCCAGACAGCTGGCTGGTGGGATCATGGGCATAACTCCCCACCCCTGCTTATACGTTGCTGTTTTAATAAAAAGATAAATTATAGCAAGATGAAATATTCAGATAAAGTCCACATGTGTGTATCTGAAGCAAGTCTGTGAACGCCGGTGGGTGGAGTTGCATAGCCGCCGTGGCTTTGCACCAAACCACACGTATGTGCTTGGCTCACCACAGACCCTCATCTCCTGGGCCTAGGCTCTGGGGGATTTTCATTCACTCACGTCTGACCGCCACTCAGGTGAAATACAAACCCAGCACATGGTTGCCTTTTCTGCCACCACTGTCTCAGGTTTCCACGTTCTGAGGTGACCTGAGTCACTATAACCAGAAACCTGAGCAGCTAAGCTGGGCAGATGGTGGGGTGAGGGGCTGGGAGCCCCACCTTCAGTGTAGCAGCCAGGGGGGGTTCCAGGCATGGGACAGAGATACTTACCCAGGTTATTGTGTGCTGGGGACATCGGATTTGGGGACAGATTTGGAGAACCTGAAAGGTGAGACACAGTGATAAGACTTAATAAAAGATCCTATGGGGAGAGCCCAGTATGAGCGCCAAGTCCCAGAAGGTGACCTAACCTCATGCCCTGGCCCATACTGCCCGCCCTGGGCCCCAGTTTCTCCACTGGTGGAACAAGGGTTGATGGGGTGATGATCTCAGAGGCCTCCTCCACACAGATGGTTTTAGGACCCTAACCAGTGCTCCAGCACTGGCGTACTGCCTTCTCAACTAGGGTAGGTGGCATCTTTTTCTTCAGCTTACATGACCTTCCTGTTACCTATGCTTCCAGGAAAATAAGAGGAGCCTGAAGCCATGCCCACAGCCCCAGGTGGTGGAAGGCTGGCCTCCCACCCCAGGTGACCCAGGCATCCCCAGTTCTGCTCTCAGTCCTTTATGCTCAGGAAATGCCAATCTTAGGACACTGACAGGTCCTGCCTCAGAAATCCTGAGCTAGACTGACCTTCTGTGCAAGACAGGAGAGTGCGCGTAGGGAAAGTCCAGTTCCTCCTAATTCATACTCTGATTTTTTTCTCCATCCCAGAGCCCCCTTCAAAGAAATCCAGTCGCTGCCCCTTCACAGAGCACCGTCCTGCTTGTCCCCTTTGTTCCTGTATGGTTGAGGCTACAGGAGTTATTGATTTCTTAATATCCCTGGGGGATAGATTTCCAGACCCCCGAACCAGGCCTGGAGGCTGTCCTTGCACCTGGCCTCAAGCACATGCTTTCTCAAGCTGCCTCTAGAGGTCTTTTATTTCAACCCAATGAGCTGTAACCTCCTTGAGGGCAAGGGATGAGCCACAGGGTTCTTCTCCAGGGTGGTGCCTAATCCAAATGGAGACACTGAACAAATCACTGGAAGATCAACATTTCAAAGTCAGTCATGGGGTTTGGACACACCACCATGTACCAGCCGTGTGACTTTGGCAAAGTCCTTTAACCTTCTAAGACTTCATGTTCCCTGGGTGTGAAGTAGGGATAATATCATCTACTGGGTGACATGTAAACACGGAGATTGTGCATATCAAAATACTCATGCCATGACTGGCACACTGTAGGCACTTAATAAATGTTCATTTCTAATTTGTGGTGGCCTGAAGGCTGTGGGACCTTCTCACTGCTCTGAAAGGTGCCCACGCTGGCCAGGGGAGACCCGTGGTGAACAGGTAACCTGCTGGCTTGAGACACTGCCATGCCTCACACAGGAGGGAAGTCAAGCCCTGAGCAACTGAACTGGGACCCAAATGGGGAACTCTGAGGAAGAAGAGAAAATAAATAGGAGCCCTCTACCCAACCACGCACAGGCTGGCCTGGGGCCACAAAAGCTAGTGTCACCTTTAGATACATCACTATAGTGCCATGTGGGCAGAGGAGAGAAAAAAAGAAGGAACACAGAAAGGGGGCAGAAGGGAAGAGAAACCAGGGAGGAGAGGGTGCAAACATGCTGCCCTTCCCATCTACATCCCCTCCCCTCTGAGCTCTGTTTACAAGAGTCATCATTCTACAGATATGGAGAGCAGCGAACGGGGAGGAGAGAAAGCAGACAAGAAATCGAGCAGCTGGAGAGAGACCGCTTAGCTGGCCCACTTCCCATGCCAGCCTTTAATAGCTGCAAGCCTGCAGCGGTCACTTGGCATTGAATGCAGGAAGGTCTTCAGTGCACTCCAGCTGGGTCCACATGGCCAGCCACTCACCAGGGTGTGTGTGTGTGTCGGGGCTGAGCTCAACCCCTAAGTGCCACAACACCCAGGCTGGATTTCAGCAACTACGTTTACAACACATTTGTGAGCCCGTTTCATTCTTTGGGGAATTGCACAATCCCTTCTGGGCTGTGTGCAGGGGTGGGTGGCTCCGCCATGTCTAGCAGCTCTGTGTGTACAAGGCATGCCCGCCACCGTAAGAATGGGACATCTGCTGGGCTCTCTCCTCCTCCTCCTCACCCAGCCACACACAACGCCGCACACATTCTATGTGGCAGCTGGGGTTCAGTTCAAGAAGCTGCTGGTTTGCGGCCAATTGGGTCCCATAACAAATGACGTGAGAAACATCTGGAGATGTGGCAGGAGACAGCTAGGCTGGATCCCTCCTGGTAGGCGCACTGTGATCACATTTGACCACCACAAAAAATAGCTGCTTCTGTAGCCGTTGGAGATCTTTTTCTCTACCCAGGCTGCCTCTCCTTGCTTCTCACCTGAACTGTTCCGGTGTCTTAGCCTGGCTTCCACCCTACTGCCAGCAACATCTCACTGAGGCACAGGCCTGCCTAAGGCCTTCAGCAGCCCCCATCAGCCCTGGGCTGTGGGCCAAGTGCTCTGCTTGGCTGGAAGATCTGCAGCTTGAAGCCCACATGACTGGCCCTCTGTCATCCTCTCTGGACGGAGCATGCCAGCCCTACTGAGCAACCTGGGCTGGATATCCCTGGACTCAGACCGCACTGAGCTCTCACTGTCCCTAGAATGCACCAGGCTCTCCCATTCAGGACCCCTACAAGTCTGCCTGGTGCACCCTTTGCCCAGTCGGATGGCATGGCTAATGCTTATGCATCACCAAGACTCAACTCAGGAAAAAGTCTACAGTGCAAGATACACTTCCTTCCCTGACCAGGTTAAGTGACCTATTTTGTGCCCTAGCTGACACATTGTGTCTTCCATCCAGGCATATATGAGACAGCAGAGTAACTGCTGACCAACTTCTCCGTCTCCAATGATGTGTAAGCTCAGCATTTGCCACATAGTGGTTACTCTATAAACACTGGCTAGAGAGGAGGGAGCGAAGGGTGGTGGGGAGGGGAAGGGCGGGCAGGACGAGCCACTCTGCTGAGACTGAGTACGCCTCCACCAACTGACCTGCGTCCATGCTGTGGTTCATCTGGTGGTCGCTGGTCTCTCCATCTTCACTCAGGTAGCCAGGGGGTGGGGTCTCTGGAATCAGAAGGTAGGTGGCCCATTAAACGGTTTGCACAGCTTGGCCCTGGTACACCATTTGCAAATACATCAAGGGTTCACGTTGCTACCCAGAATGGGGTGCTGGAGGAACACGGCCTAGGAGTGAAGGTGGCCACTCCTGGATTCTGCCTGCTCCGCCTGTCTGGACCAGACAGCACGCCGACTACGATGAACTCCCAAGCCTGAAATGCCTGTTCCTAGAGCTGCTGCCAGACTAACTTCTGCCTGTTCTTCAAGGTCAAGTTAACCCCACACCCTCTGGGGAGGCTTCTGGACTTGCCTCAGCCTCCCCCATCTCTGGCCTCTGGAGAGCTGCGCCCTCGAGCCCGCCCCTTGGCCCCTGCATCTTCCCCTGCAGACCGCTGCTGTCCGTATTTGTTGTCTCTAGGGATGTGGCTCAGCGCCCCAGGGAGGCTGCAGTTCGACAGTGGCGGAGACTGCTCTCCATTTCTCTCACACTCCTCCAGACCCTGCTTTAGCCTCCAAGGTCTGCCATCCCAGGAAGGAGATGACTTACCCCCAGACCAGAGCTACCTGCAAGGATCTGAAAGGGCTGGATAGGGGGCCTCTCCCACCCGCTCTGACCCGAGCACACAGGCTGGGCCACGCTCAGCCAGTGAGCTAAGCTAGAGTGAGAGCCACGTCCAAATTAGACCGCTCTAAAAGGAGCGCAGCTGGATGACTGCCCCAGCAAGCAAAAGTCGCTGTGGCTGGCCCAAGGGTGGCCAAGTACAATTCCCCAGGATGCCAAGAGTGCTGGTGATTCACACATTATTTGCATGTCAATGAGGGGCTTCTCAAAACATTTGCATTCTTTGACAGGGGAGCCCTTTTCTCCCAGCAGGCAGAGTAAAAACTCCAACTCTGCCTCAGCTCCCACCCAGGCTCTAACCCTTCCCAGGTCTGAAGCCCAGGCTACTTCCAGGGCCCTGGGCTCCCCTACTCCGCAGTCCCCCCTGCCTGCACGCCAGCCCTGGCCTACGGACCTGCGTGAGGGCAGCCGAGAAACACAGTGCTGCTATTTCCACTTCCAAAATAAATGAGTGCACTGAGGCTGGGCGGAAGGGTCACGCTGCCCCTTGTGCCAAGAAAAGCATCATTAGCCAGCGGGGAGCTAAGGCCACAGGTCCTCTCCCAGCAGGGATGCGGGTCTGTCAGGGGCCCAGGGCCTGCGTTTTGCACAGATAGAGGAGGACAGGGAATGGGGGGGACAGAGCAGGCCTGGGGCCACCCTGCTTCCCCAGCCTGTCCCCACCCCTATGAATACCTGGAATATTGCTCTGGGGCTCGATGCCGGCGGGGAAGTTGGTGTTCTCAGGGATGGAATGGCTGTAGTCGTCCAGCGGGGGGAACTCGGCCGGGATCTCTGTGTGCCGTGGCACCAGCACAGGAGGTAGAACTGTCCAAAGGAGACAGAGCAAGGCCACTCAGCACCTAGGCAGGGCTGGCACCAAAGCCCCTGAGCCCCAGGCACGCCACACACCCTCCCTGGGGACGGTGCTGGGCAGCCCAGGGGCCATACCTGGCGTTTCTACCCTCTGGTAGTGGTAGGGGTTCACGCAGACCTCGTCCTTCTTCATGTTGAAGGCGAATTCACACAGCTCCATGGCCCGCAGCTCATGGTGGCTGTGCAGGTCAGGCCATCGCCACAGGCGGCAGTAGATGACATGGGGCAGCCCCTTCCGATGGGACACCTGCAGCCGGCCATCCAAAGACCTGCCGGCATGGGGAGGGGCAGAAAGAGACAGGTTTGGCTGGCCTTTTCCAGAGCCCAGCCCCCTCAGCTCCAGCCCCGGTTGGCAGATGCTCAGCACTGCACCCTCCCGCCTTCCTCTGGGCCCAGAAGTCCAGGAGATCAGAGCCGGGCTGTGCTGGAAGGGATCCTAGAAGAAGCAGGCAGCCCACCAAGGAAGACGCAGGGCCGCCACAGCCAGCAGAACTGGCCTTGCCCCCCAGGGTCAGGGTGAGCTCCCAGGAGAGCCGGGGCTCCTCTTGGAAAAGATGCACTGAAGCCTGCTCCAAAAAGGTCACTCCTCTGGCCCTGTTGCAGGCTAGAGGAGCAAGGAAGAGGGCTGGGTACAAGACAAGGCCAAGGTGGCAGGCAGAGTTGGTTCTACAGGGCCTGGGGGCTGTGACAGGGAGTCTGCCTTTTTAGTAAAAGCAGCTAAGTGGCCTCAAGGATGCTCACGGGGACTATGCTGGGGGCAGGTCCTGTGATAATTCTGGCTGAGGGTGACCAGTCACGAGGGTGACCAATCAGGTGGGGTTGAAGGTTGGAGTAGGGAGCTTAGAAGGGGGTGAGTAAAGAGGCTGAGTAAAGAGGCACCCTACCAAGGGGCAGTACTTTCCTCAAGAAGAGCATCGTAGGACTCTATCATTCAGGGAACGATTTTTCTCATAGCTGGGCGAGGCTGGCAGAAAGACAAGTGCTAGCTGTCCCCTTAGAACAGAGGATACCCATCAGTCTGAATAAACAGAATTTATGGGCACTCTGAAGGAGGTACAACCAGGGGCCCCATCCAGAGAAAAACAGAGGGAATCAATCAAAGTCTAAGCCATTGGCCTACGAAGGGTGAGGGACAGGCAAAGGTCAGCACTGGGCTTGGCCTCAGGGACAAACCAGGAGCTGCTGAGTAAGGGCATCTGGAGGCATCTGGAAGTATGTAATTACCTCCCTCCCGTGGGGCCCAGACCAAGGAACCCCTACAGCTGAAAACAGTAATTACCAGGCAGAACAAGAGAGGACAGCCTGAGACTTGCCCCTAAGGTACAGCGGGAAGACTGCCAGATATGGAGTCATAAGGCCTGGGGTCAAGATGTGTTTCCACTTTCCCTGCTGCAAGACTCTGGGCAAAGCATAATGTTTCTAGGGCCTTCAGTTGCCTTGTCTGCAAAATGGAGACGTTCTCCCACTGCCCTGACTTCAGCGAAGCTCAGTGTCCATTTACAGATGCTTTGCAAAGCACCAACCAGCACAAACCTCCTAAGAGCCTCTCTCCACCTTGCTCTGGATAAGGGGGTGACCGAGAAAGAAAGGGAGAGTAGGAAGTGGTGAGAGGGGACAGAGAATTAGTCAGCCATTCTCACTCTCTTGCAAAGCCACCAAATGCCCACAGATTAAGGAAGTGGCCACATTGGCTCTTCAGGGTTTGACAAAAGCTCCAACAAAGGGCCAGCTGGGTGTTGTAGTCCCCTCTGCATGGAGCACCCCTAGAGAAGAGCTCAGGCCAGCGGGAGAGAAGAACGAGGTCAGAGGGAGGCCCCATGTGGGTGCTGGAAGGAGGTGGCCACCTTTCTTTAAAAATAATGATACATGAATTATTCTGATGATAATTACATTTTTAGCAAGCCAGGGAGCTATGGTCATCAAGGAAGTGTGGAAAATAGTATGGAGTCAGACAAACAGACCAGTGGAACCTGACAGAGTCCACAAACAGTCACACATACACAGACAAGTGATTTCTAAGAGCTAAGTGAGTGAAGAACGGATGGTTACTTCAACAAATAGTGGTAAAACAAGTGGGTATCCACAGACAAGAAGAGCAAATGCCAACCTATACCTCGCATTCACCCAAAATGTAATAGAAGAGGGCCACAGTGGAAAGCCGAAAATTACAAAACTTTGGAACAGACAAACATTTCCAGTACTGCATCAAAAGCACAATCCATCAAAAAGAAAGCTGAGATGTTGGACTTCATCAAAATTTAAGCCTCTGATCTTTGAAAGACATTATACTATTAAGAGAATAAAAAAGATGGGCAGCCAACCGGGAGAAAATATTTGTAAAGCAAGTATCTGATAAAGGACCTGAATAAAGAGCTCCAAAAACTCAAAAGAAACCAATTTTAAAATAAGCAGCAAGTGATTTTTAAAAGATGCTATACAAAAATAAGCTAGCAAATACGCACATGAAAAGATGTTCTGTATCATTAGTCATTAGAGAAGTGCAAATTAAAACTGCAATGAGCTACGACACCATTATCAGAATACCTGAAATTAAAAGGATTGTTTATGCCACCTGTTGGTGAGGAGGTGGAGCAGCGGGAACTCCAGAACCTCGCTGGTGGGGTAGAGAGATGGTTAGTGGGGAAAACAGTTCAGGAGTCAAAATGTAAACGCACCCTAAGATCCCCCCAGTCCTTAGCATTTACCCAAGAGAACTGAAAGCACATGTCCAAGGACTGGCATCCAATGGGGTCAACACAAAGGCACACCCCTCGGCAATCAAGAAAGGACCGTTGATACATGTGACATTGTGCATGGATCCAAAACTGATTGTGCTGACTGAAAAGAAGCCAGACACGATTCTGTTTATGTAAAATTATAGAGTAATTTAAAGTAAAGTAAAAATACAAACTGTTCCACAGTGACAGAAAGCAGATTGGCAGTTGCCCAGGCAGGGGAGAGGGCGTGTGCAGGGGAGGGAGGGATGAAGGACCAAAGTGTATAGGTATATACATGTCAATTTATCAAATTGTGTGTGTGCGTATTTTTTTTCTTTTTTTTTTTTTTTTTTGGTACCAGGGATTGAACTCAGTGGATTAACCACTAAGCCACATCCCTAGCCCTTTTATTTTATATATATTTTTTTAGTTATCAATGGACCTTTATTTTATTTATTGACACATGGTGCTGAGAATTGAACCCAGTGCCTCACACATGTTAGGCAAGCCCACTGCCACTGAGCCACAACCCCAGCCCTATGTTTTATTTTGAGACAGGGTCTTGCTAAGTTGCTTAGGGCCTCGATAAGTTGCTGAGGGTTGCTTTGAACTTGCAATCCTCCTGCCTCAGCTTCCTGAGCCGCTGGGATTACAGGTATGCGCCACTGCATCTGTTTCAAACTGTATATTTTAAATGTGGGCAGTTCACTTGCAAATTATATCACAATTTCTTTAAAAAGGCAAGGGCCACACCTGGATTTGAATACAGACGCTGCGCTCACTATCTACATGAAGCTGAGCAGATCACCTGCTGTCTCAGTCTTAGGGCTTCACTTTCAGTGGACTGGCGGGAGGGCTAAGCAATACTCTTTGCAGAAAGCCCTAAAGCCGATGGCAGATGAGGAGGCTATACACAGCAGCAACTGCCTTGTGACAGTTGCTGCCTCGTTACTACAATGGCGCCTGACAAAGTAAGGTACACAGTAGGTGTTCAAAGATACTATTTTCCTCCCCACTCTGGCCATCTGAGTGCACAATTGGGGGGCGGGTCATGAAGAGAGGCCTCCCTTACGTGTCCTTTATTTGGTGGCACCCCCACTGCCATGCTGTGTGGTCAGTAAGGCCCCTCTCTGTACCCCTCGGACATCCAAGAGGCAAAGCTCAAATCCCAGGCCACCTAGCAGTCAGCACCAGGGCTGCCTCTCTGGCTTCAGGCTGGGTCCTGATGGCAGGGACACAGGCATAATCTTATTCTCCCGCTCATGAGCTCATGACCACCAGTCTGACTTGGTGGGATTTTTTAGAAGTCATTTGGTCCATGCCCCTGCTTCTGAGCCATCAAACTCTCATGACAGGAAGGGCATCTCGTTCACTTCTTTTGCATCAGTAACAATCCCTCTTGGTTCGGAGTCTGGCTGCCAGGGCCCAGAACCCTGGTGCTGTTCCTTCTTCCTCCCGGTCCCACTCAAAATACATACCAATGCTCAGCAAGATAATAATAGTGAATAGGGATTCCAGCTGCTGGATTTAGTACAGCTGATGTGTCCGGAATACACCCTCCCAGCCTTACAGGGCACCGGGCCCACTAAGTAAGTCCAATAAATGAGTCTTAATTCTGAGTTAATGTTACCATAAACATGCTTAGTTGCAGAAAAGGGTCTATTTCTGACCCACTCTTTCTCTAAGCTGGTCCAAGACCAGCTGCTGGAGTTTTGAGAGTACAGTCCCAGGAGGCGGCCTTGGGCCTCCCTGCTAGTCACAGCCTCCATCTCTTCCCACACCCAGTGGCTTCCTAATAAGACCCTCAAACGTCTTTCTCCAGCAACTCCCTCAAGCTTTTCTGACAAAAGGTCTTAATCTTTAAATATATTCTTCACTAGCCAAACAATTTCCTGTGGCAGGAAATTAGGTTTCCTCCCATTGGTTCCAAGTGGGTCCCGTAAAGTGTCCCAAAATGGTGGTGGAGCCACAGCCAAGGATGTGGACATGCCAGAGCCCAGGGCCCCTGGTGAAGGTGCAGCCGGCCAGAGCGCTCCCCAGGGAAGAGCTGCAGCCAAATACCACTCCTGTCCCCAGAGCTGTGATCAGCCACCCCATACCCCCATCTGGGGGACAGGACTGGGGCTCAGAGTTGGGGGCAGAACATAAAAGTTCCAGAAACACACCAAGCGCATGAACTATGTGCCAGGTACTGCCACCACACGAGAATACAAAACAGCCACCCCAGAGGACCTCATCCTGCCTGCCTGGTTCACAGAACTGAAGGGACCCTCTGGGGTCCACAACTCGCCCAAAGTAGGATCAGGTTCAAACCCAGACCAGTGCTAAAAAATGGGGAGGGAGGTGGGTGGGACGAAGAGAGCCTTCTATTGTCACACACTGCATGTCTACAGGGAAACCGACTCCTTGTCAGGCATCGGGTAGTTAGTTATTGAACACCTACCATAGCCTGGGCACAGTGCCAGTGACTTGAGCCAAACCGGTGACAGAAAGTAAAGGTGTCAACACTAGCATCTTTCCAATGAAATGTATTTTAATATACATGCACACTT